CGAGGACGAAGAGGCAGATAACGATGAAGATCACAACCGAGACAGCAGCAGAATGTCGGACAGCCGTGAGGACGAGGACAAGACTCTACAAGAAGTCAAAGGTTCTTCTTCTTTTTTTTTTTCCAATGACAATTAATTGTCTTGGTCATGTGACATGGGCAGCCCCTCATTGCTAGGCAGAATTCTAAAGTTGAAATTAAAATTGATGAAACTGTGTATTATACTGTGCACACAAAATACTGTGGCTACACAATACACACTTGCGGACAGGAAGTAGGTATGATTGTGCAATTAAAATTTGAATTAATCGGCGCATACTTCCTGGACAGCAAATCAAGTGCAGAATCCCCAGAAGCAGTGTACATACAGTATTAGGTTGTATTTCCACTACTGACTTCCCATTGATGGGCCCCCCTGCAGCCGTGTGCACCCTGGAGGCGGAGACAGGGCCCTGCAGGGCCTCCATGCCCCGCTGGCACTTCGACCTGAGCCAGAGAAAGTGTGTGCTCTTCATCTACGGAGGCTGCGCGGGAAATCGCAACAACTTTGACTCGGAGGAGTACTGCATGGCCGTGTGCAAGCGACTCGGTGAGTGACAGCTTGTCAGTTGCACTAAGGCTTTAAAATTATATTTGAAGTTGTTTTTGGGGAGGGTAATATGTGGTACAGTTTGAAATGAGTGAAGAATCATGTTAATAATTGGGAGGCTTATTTTTATACAAAATTGCCCAGCCCTAGTTCACTGTACAGTATAAAGAGCTAAAGATCGTGTCCAAAAACAAAATCGCGAAAAAATTAATTCACCAAGCATGAATAGGCAGGGGTTCACTGCACTTTATTTCCAATCCCATTTTTTGTTAATATTGGTTTGGCGGATATTTTGGTTCGGCAGCCACGCTCCCGACACCTCAGCCAGCCGACGACGTGGACATCTACTTTGAGACGCCAGCAGATGACAAGGAGCACAGTCGCTTCCAGAAGGCCAAGGAGCAGCTAGAGATCAGGCACCGCAACCGCATGGAGAGGGTGAGCCGGGGGGTGTACCACACCTGCTAAAATACTCAAACTCAAAGAGGCAGTTTGAACACCTCAGCCAGCCGACGACGTGGACATCTACTTTGAGACGCCAGCAGATGACAAGGAGCACAGTCGCTTCCAGAAGGCCAAGGAGCAGCTAGAGATCAGGCACCGCAACCGCATGGAGAGGGTGAGCCGGGGGGTGTACCACACCTGCTAAAATACTCAAACTCAAAGAGGCAGTTTGGGAGTTCGTCAAAAGTGCTCAGCTGTTATGCCTGGCAAGAGGCAAAACATACAAAACAAAACATGTCTCAAAACAAAAAATAATTGGGGTAAAAAAAAAAAAATTAAGTTTGGAGAAAAAAATAAAATACAAAAATA